AGAACGCTTTTCAAGTATTATAAGCACTTGCTCTGGTGTTTTTTGCAATTAAATATATCGATACGAACAGAAATTATAATCCAGCGTAAAATACTTGGACGAAAACTCGGGAATACGTATGAAAACTGGTTGCAAAAAGCCAGGTCACGAACCCTCTTAAATTTATCACGGGCCAGACAAATTAAATTTGTTGCAGTGAACGTATAAGTGATTTCAATTTTATTAAAATCTTGATATAATCTGCATTATTGAATAATACGAAAACGGGCACGCGTAATCGTATTATATTTAAAAAAAATATTTTGTGTTGTAACTGCGCTTCCGTAACGTCCATTACGTTACTATTAAGCTTGAGCGGTTTTAGGTTCGTATCGGGGGGAAATAATAAACAGTTTTGGAGAATGCACCGAAGTCGGATCAACTACTTGTCTAAAAATAAAAATAGATCCGTTAGTTAGACCTTAATTTGTAGATTGCGCGAGTGTAACACATTAAGAAAAACGCGACAAATAGCACTTTATTGATGTTACGAAAGCTTTACAGCCTCTGTCCTCCAGTGATCAATACAAGCATTTTTAATGCCTTTTATGAATTATAAAATAAATAAGTATTGACTCCAATTAATCTGCTTTTACGATTAGTATCGGGAAAGCATTGCTATTCAAATTAATTTCGCTATTGCAAATGGAATTATATTTTGCCAGATCAAATAGGTACTTGAACTTTGAATTAATATTTGTACGATCTTAATGCATTTCAGATTTTTTGCCCGCATTCAGAGATATTACTCTATCTTCTACTTTGATTAAGTTGAAGATAAAAATAAATTTTATTTTTGATTGATGACCCAAACTACATCTAATCCATAATAAGTGGGAAAAAACTTGTTAATAAAACATCTGTTTTCAATTTAAAATTTCATTTTAAGTAAGTAGGTATTGACGGGTAGCATGTAACGCATTTGTAGCCGATTTTAAAAAAAAATTAATCTTATATTGTGGCCAGTCTAGATATAAAATATGTAGTAGAAATGGTGAAATTCCGGTTAAATCACGAACCACTGTCGATAAATAGGAACGCTGTGAAATAAATTTGCATCTGTCTGAAGACTGCTGCTACTTTCCCGAATGTCCAAAGTTAAAACGAGAGCGTACCATCCATTTTAAATGTCTTTTAGTGAAATCACTGTTTTTTTTATATAAATAATATTAATTAAAACAAGGAACTTCCCAGACCATAAGTGACAAGGGCTATTGTATATGCAATCTGACAGCTGCAGATTGCATATACAATACATAGAGCATAAACAATATAAACATCTATATTATATTTCATATTCCATCAAGTATACTCTATGCGTGTCTGTACCCGTTTGTCAATAAAAAGGTAGATTAGTTTCTGAATCTTTATAAAATGTATATCGTATCGCAAATTTATAGTTCTATAAGTATTGCGACGAACTTTGCAAGCTGTATTAAGTGTAGTCATCCATCCCTGTATATTAATTTTCTCGAATATACGACTTCGCGATGTTGTGTAAGTTAAGAAATATGAAACCTAAGCTAAGCAATAAGGTTCATATTTATACGAAACTATTTGATCTCGTTCGTAGATATAAAGAGACCCGTAGGAAGTAAAGTGGGCGAAAGTCAAAACGCAAGTTCAACCAGGAAATCACAAGAAAATACGAAGTTTGTCGTGCTCATACTGAGAACATCTTTAGTATATTGACAAATTTACCCTTAAACTGGGGAACTATTTGAATTTTAAATTTAGAGATTGTATTAACAAAGAATAAAGTTCACGATATAACACGTTATCAAACCTTTTAGCTCAAAAAAATTTAAAATATTGTTTTGATCATTCACAATTATAATTTACAATTATTCGTATAATTTTCATTGTTTTCGTTAATCGTTTTAATAGCGATAGTCCATTATTGTTATTATCTGACACTGTTTGGAAGCTTTTATAATAATTTAAATGTTGTTTTACTTTCTGCGAGCTACGTTTTTAAATAAGTGGACACGTTATGGGTTTTTTAACGAGACAATCTATAACAATACTATACTTACCTATGATATTTTCTTAGTTATATATACATATATAGTAACATATTGATAATATATTGAAATATTGTTGTATTATAAACATTTAGATGCTTAAATAATTTTTTTGGCCAATACTGTTTTGTTTATATGTGTTTGTTACATTCCTGCAAATACTCATATAAACATTGACTATATTTGTAACTTGTAAGACGTATTCGTCAAATTCAAAGCGTACTAATTAGATTCGAGCGATCTCTATATGTATGATCGAATAGTTTGCTCATTGCAAAGCGATTGCATTACAAGGCTTTGCCATATAAGGTCGTGGTCTCCTATAAAAGGTACGCCGTATACAGTGTTATGCTATGTTCTTTCTATACTAAGATTCTTCTTAACCAATTCTATATACAAAAGCTATTGTACTGACACCTATCGATCAGATATACAAGAAAAATTGCTATGTAATATTGACGAAGCAAAAATGCGTGCAAAAGCATTACACAATTTAAAAACTTAACAATTTAATAATATTTAAATATTTTAATAATAATTTAATTTAATAATATTAAATAAAACAATTTTGACGGTTTAAACGGTTCAAATTATTTTAAATTGATTAACAACGATCCGATGTTGTATCCCCACTCCGGGACCACTGCAATGTATCCGAAACTCCGTATCGTAATTAATAAAAAAAATATAAAAAAAAAAAAAAAAAAAAAAAAAAAAAAAAAAAAAAAAAAAAAAAAATAAAAAAAAAGGGGGGTTAAAGGGCGGCCTTATCGCTATTAAGCGATCCCTTCCAAGCACCCGAAAATAAATAAGGAAAGACTTACGTTACTAAAAAATACGTTTACATCGTACAATACAATTTCGTTGTTACACTATTTACTGCATTTATATACAACCGCAGCCTTACACCTCTACGTTGACACTACTTGCTGCTTACGTGGTCAGCAGTCAAACGCTCTTTGTCTCTCCATGTTCAATATGAATATATTGAATACGAATTTCTATTGGATTGGGGACTCGGTTCTCTCTTTCAATCATATTAGAATCGTAAGCCATCTAGTTTTCACTGAAGCAGACTTTGTACTAAAACTCTACGTTCGCTCGAATGGTACACAAATTCAATGCAATTCAATTTGTACATCTCTCCCAGATGCAGATTTAATTAATGCAAGGAAAAATACTATTCTATCGACTAGACAAGTTCTGTATCAGTGTTCGACCAATGTCCTGTATTAATTAAAGTTTAATCATAATTGAGTTTGTATTCGTTGTGATTTATTAGAAGGAAAGCTAAGTACAGTTATATAAATATACATGCTATATTGTACGTCGATTAACGTCTTTGGGTAAAAATAAGTTCTACCATGTCTTTGATAAGTTTACTTAATTCAAAGACTCCGCGGTAAAGGTATTAAAATGTTTATAGCTCTGAGAGTGGTTATGCGTTGTGTATTGGCATTGCGCTAAGCGCGAGTACTTGGAGTTTGAATCCTGAGCAAAATAAACATTTATTCGCTTGTTCGTTTATTAGCTCCCTAGTAGATAGTAGACGTAATTTACGTTAGGGATAGAAGTTTATACCCTTAAGTAAAATAGCCACAGTACCAAAATACTCTAGTATGGTTCAAAATGTGAATGGTTCACTGGTTTGAGCCACGGCGATTTTAATTGCTATAAATCTTTTTAATGTAAAATATTCAAGGCATAGATTTGACATTGCATGTTTTTGATTGAGTGTTGATTATTTTGGTGCTTTTTGTAAATCAAGGCACAAACGAACAATTATTCGTTACAAAGTAAATGACAAATAGGAGAATTGCAAAGAATTCCAGCATTACCACTTTAGTGAATTGTTTACATTTTATGAAAAGTAAAATGTTAGAACGAATTCTTTTTCCTCGTGCCATTTATGCGAGAGGTGTTTGTACATTGTCCGAGAAATGTAATGAGCGTTGTTTGAGATCATATTTTCTCACCTCTTTCATAACTTTTGCACATGATGATGAAAAAGAAATTGTTTTCAATGAAAAATTATAATTACAGAGAAAAAGGGCATTGAATGTTAAATACTGTCTATAGTTTACGCGAGTAGTACACATTTAAATAAAACACTTTAACGGTTTAAAACGCGATATTTTAGTTAAACTTATTTGAAAATGATTTTTAACTTCGGCCCGATATGCTTTGAGCAGCCGGTGGTCACGGGGAGACCGATCATATCGCGTTTTAAACCGTTTAAGGTTTTTATTTTAAAGCATTGTATGTTATAATTTTATCTGTTTTAAATGATTTATTTAATGATAAAATAAAGCTGAAGATTTTGTGTTTTTTAACTAGCTAATTCCAGGAACTGAAACTAATTAATTGAAAAATCATTTTTGTGCTAATTTTATTATTTATCGCGGAAAGCCTTTTAAAAAGGCTCTAGGCTATAAAACAGGCCGCGACGTATAGGAGTAAAGGAACAGAGCGAAATGTGTAAAAAACCAGGAAAATTATTCATCGCGCTGCAGCACAATGAGTGCGTTGTGAAAACAGCTTAAGAAAAAAAAATATTTTTGAAAGAATTTTTCTTTTAGTAATCTAAAAAAACATCCGCAATAGATTGTCTCTTTCTTAAGATAAATCCGCTAGGACGGAACACAGACGTCGTCGTGGGTTAAATAGTTGAGGAGGTGTTTGCAAAATTAAATATTAAATTAATTATTTCACGCGGACGACGTCATGGGCACAACGATTATTTGAAAAAGATGTTATATGAATGCTTTTAAAAGAAATAAAATAACTTTAGATACGTAATATGTTATTTAATTTTTATAAGTCACATTACAAAAGAAACCGAAAACCCAACGTCCAAAGTCCAAAAGAAAAACCAACCTGTTGTCGTACTGCGACTAGCAGAAGTCACACGTACTTTTCGAATGGCGTGGAATTTTTTCATGTGAAAAGCCGTGCATTAAATTTTCGATGAGTGGGCACCGCTCGGCAATGCTTCCACTGGTTGATCGCGAGCGTGGCCGGGAGGCGCTGCAAGTTGTCGGGCAAAGTTTGTGCGGCAGTGGGTGGCATCCACACGGATCGAAGCGCGGCGCGCGCACCACCCCTACTCAATATATATCGCGTATCGCACGCTCGGAGTTCACAACGCAAGAGGAACGCGTGCGAACGCTCAACGCCGCTCGCCCGGGGCGCTCTCTCTCTTTCTCTCTTCTCTGTTCGTCTGTTTCTCGCTGATGCGGTCGCGCTGAGGCAGATGCAGCCGCCATGCCGCGCTGCCTCATGGCCAAGAAGTGGAAGGTGGCTCCGGCGGGGGAGCTGCTCGAGTCCGACGAAGAGATCGACGTGGTCGGCGAGGGGCGCGGCCGGAGCCCCGCGCCCGCGGCCACCGCGCCGGGTCCTTCGCCTCGCGATCCTGAACCGACGCTGCTATACAACGGTAAGCGCAATTTATCTATCTCGAAGATCAGAGGACACCAGTTTCGTTCTTCCTAACGCGATTGTTAGTAATACAACGAGGAACGGTAAAGTATTTTTTATTAGCCTTAGCAACGCGCCGGAATTTCTGGATATAAACACCATTAAAAAAGTAAGTAACATACGTTAATGTTTGATATACCAACATGTTCATATTAGCTTAGCGACTGCTATTTGTTTTGCGAATTTCTCATATATTTAATTGACATGCTAAGCGCGTGCGAGTAAGTAATGTAGCACATTTTGTATGTTACGTTGACCGATTTTCCCAAAGGATAAATCAATCTCTTTATATTACGAGACAGGCTATTAAGTTTTACAACTCTAATAAGTTATGTAAACAATGGTCTCATAATATATTATATTTTACGATATATCTCCGACAAAACTCGTTCTAATTCTTATCTTCGTTAATATTACTGATTTTTATAACGCCCTTATTATCAATATTAAATTTAACAGTACAATAACGAGATACTTAAAATATATCGCCAATTGAGTCTCCAAATTAGATCAGTGACGACTGACGATTCAACTTGTCCGGATAGCGCTTAACATCGATTTTAGTCGGACCAAGTGTCTCGTTAAACGTCTATTGAAACTGTACGATAAATCTTCGAATACGCATGACATTGGAAACAAATATATTTACTATAATACTCATATAGTATTATAATTCGTTGTAATATGACAATAATGAATTATTTTATTAGATCCATAAAACTAAACAATAACACGCATACATTACTTTTATTTATTTGTGATACATTTTTCCTTATTCAAATAAAACAATTGGTCGGTTTGAAACGAGAAATAGTTATTTACAATTCATTTTTACTACGGCCGGAGGTTTTGGATGCTTTCCAGTAGTATAACAGACAGACAGACGTCAAAATAATTTGAACATATTTAAACAAACATATTTCACGTTTTAAACCATTAAGAGCGAATTATTTAAATGTGTACTACTCGCATAAACGAGAGACAATCACTTTTTTTTACTTAACATTGCATGAAGTAGAATAAATAAATTAAACAGATGTGGCACGAACCATTTATAAATATTTAGATTCAATTGAATTAATTATTTCAAAATTTAAGATTTAGATAAACGATAAGAGTATTGGCTCGTAGATTCGTATTTATAATCTCTTTACAATATTAAAGCCCGTAGCCACGCGTAGCATGACTACAAACAGCTACGTCGTAGATTCGTAGACCCATGTGAGTTGAGTTTGCTTTATTTACTGTTTGTTCTCTATATATCTTTATACTTTTTTAGCATTTGTGTAACATATAGCATATATATTGTTAATGTAAAAATACTAACGTTAACCTTTTCAAACCGTTTAACGTTTCCTATTCTGTTCGTATTATGTTTACTTATTTAATCTAACCAATTAGATCTTGTAGAACTAAAATTACATGGTCGTTCGTCATAGTCCTAAGTGGCCATCAAATGGGCATCAAATGGATTTGATGGATTATAACGGGATACATTTGAAAACGCTTTAAAGTGAAATATATAATTTTATTCATTATTACGATTTGGTGTCTTACATTTGTGGTAATGAAGTCAGACTCTTATACTGTTGTTATTTCAAGAAAGTACACACATAACGAATCTCGTGAAGGTTTTACTATGCTTCAAAGAACAAATATAAATAACTTGACTTTCGTCCATGTTTTGAAAATGGAACTACAATATACTGCATTTGACTGGTATGCAATCTCCCTATTTAATACTTAATAGTACAGTTATATAATACGAGGCTAGTATCCTTGCTTTGTGGATTCCATCCGGTAAATGTGCTTGAATGTGAAATGGACATAATAGAACTTTGAGATTTCCATTTCAGGGGAATTGGATTATTCAATAGAATGCAGCGAGTATTACAAATCAAAGTGAATTCGAATGAATGCTTTAATTATTAATAGAAACTGGTGTAATTCAAGTCCTATAGCCCGCTGTGAGCATCATATTAAAAAATATATTAACTTTGGTCAATTGTTAAATTTTAATATTCACATGTTATTGCACGTGAAGAAACTATATAAATTAAAAATCGATACTAAATGGAAAAAAGTATACGACTCGGGCAGGACTGGGTAGCTCAATTGGTTAGAGCAACAGCACGGAGCGCTGACTTATTACGCTAATTTATTTTCGATTTTTAATTTCGTTGGTAAATTTATGAATTATTACAAAAGTACTCTATATAATATACAAAATAATATAAACTCACACATCACACAATCACACATAAAATCAAATCAATTAAGTAAATTAATTAAATTGCAAGCAATAAATTATTATTATTAAATACAATATTACATTGTCTGTAGTTTTCGCGAGTAGTACACATTTAAATAAAACACGTTTACGTTAAGTATACAACGTTTCGAATGCTTTGCAGTCGAAGTGGTCAGGGGGGCCTGACATAAAACTTAAGTTAACTAATATATAACGCGTTAAAAGACCCGTTAAAAGAGTTTTATTTAAATATTGATTTTTATGATATTTGGAAAAATTAACAGCTTACAGTAATAAACAATTTAGTGATAGGAAGTATAGATCAATGAGGCTTAAGGATTTTTTTACTTTTAGAATGATTATAACAGATTACATGATACATGAGTTTCTTTTCTAAGACGTATACAATACTATTTTAGTTATTTTTTTAGTTTTATTGGTATTGCCTCAATTCTGTTTTCATTTTCATCAATCAAATATTTTAAAGGTTTGACACAATGATAGTTTTAGTCATTTGTACAAATATTTTCGTTAAACCAATACAAACCAGTTACACAGTTTTCGTTTCGCATGTGTCTCGATTACTGTTAATCATGTTTATTTTATATACATACATGTATATAAAATAAACATGATTTTTAGTTCAGTCAGAAACTGACTTTTAGTTCAGACTAAAAAATAGTAGTTTAACTAATATTTTACGCGTTAACGTATTTTATTTAAATATGTAATACTCGCGCAAACTACAGACTCTATTTGTTAATAGGGTTGTTTTGTAAAATGAAATATACAAGTCGGTTGTTAATTCCTTTCATGCTCTCTTTTTCACAAATATAAGTCAACTGGGCTAAGAAAACAAAATTTCAGAAAAATACCTTTACTAATTAAAAGACTCGGTGCGAATTTAAATTGAACTGTAGGAAAAAATACTACAGCGTACTATATGAAAGTCAAGTATAAAAAAACGTTTTTAGTAAAATAACTTATTTACCTACTTACTACCTATATAGTCATAACATTTGTTGTGCGATGCGGAGTTACTTCGTTGATTAATGTTTCATTTCGACGTACATTTTTAAATTTTCAAGCTCCCAAATAAATTGGCACTGGGTAGTTTAACACAGAGTTTTATATATTTGCAACTTCGTTCTACCTAGAACGAAGTTGCATGACCATAGGCGAATGCTTTCCGTGGTGTCAAGTAGAAACCTTTCAAATTAATCCGTTTAAGATTGTTCAGGCTGTTGTTAACCTATTAGTATACTGGTGCAACAAGTAAATGTCTTTATAATAATGAATATTATATATTTATAATAATTATTTTTTATAATTTAGTTGGAAAAAAACAAACACGTAATATATTACACTTATAAATTTAAAAATCAATTATAAATTGAACAAAATTACGACTCATGGCAGGACTTGAACCGGCATCCACATCGTTCTATGCTGTTGCTCTAACCCATTGAGCTAACATGGTCTATACGTCATCGTCGATTTTTTTTCTATCTATTGATCCTGTCGCTCAATTTTTTTTTTCAATTTATGATCGTTTTTAAATGTATTTAGTGCCATCAATGGCAATAACATGTGAAAAATATTAAAGGTTTCACACTTATAAACTTATTCAGAAATTTATTAATGAAGTGGCTTTTTTTTATCTGTATGTTTGAACGCATGGTAAATAATTTAAATTCGCTAATAAGTTTAACATTATAGGTGGTAAGAATTACTTTTAAATTTATTTATTTTGTTGAGATAAATCAAAAACAAGTATACTAAAAGCAACCGTTTAATGTGTGTAGTAATTAACTTAATTAACGTAATTAGCATTACTTTGCAGTCACATACATTCTACAACTTTTAGTGCATGTTAGGACAAGATTTTCCTATCATCAAAATATCACGAATGTACTACATTAAATTAAAATTCATTAGCTCGTATAAAATGCTCGGTCAAATATACAGGAGTGCTGGTGGAAAATAAATATTCAACTAAATGTAAGTATACGTTAAAAATTATACACCTGACCTCCATTACATCTTTTACGATTAACCCGCATGTCACACCTAGCTAGCTTTAATAGTAAAACGTAAATCGAGACACCAAACGCTTTTGTACTAAGACTTTTTATTTTTTTAACTCATAAAACGGAAAATATAGGTATGAAGTAGATTTACCATTGTTTTGATAAATGTTAATATTTTAAACGCTTTAGTTATAAGTTATAGTCTATGGTTTAAAAGAGTGTGTAACTATTCTAACATGGTAATGACGATTATGTATTCACAGAGGGGTCAACGTTGCTGTAAGTCAAAATGTTAACCTTCAGTTTAGATATCAAATGATTTTCAGGCTGTAACGAAATAGAAAAACCTTCACTTCGCTTAGGATTGATAGGAATTGAAATTCTACGTTACCCTTATGATTTTTAAATAAAACACGAAAATAACAATTGAAGTTAATAAATCTATTTAAATTATCCTAACGTTTCGTTGCCACTTGTGAGGTCATTCATTCCAGTGAGACCCAATATTAACTCACTACATCATACGGCGTGCCCGACTTGTCATTCAAAATTCTGAACCTTCTAACTAGCGCTAACTATACTTGTGACCTTAAAACATTTGCATTGATGTTTAATGATACATGAATTTCAGTTTCAATACCGTTTAGTTTCAATTTTTGATTAAAAAAGATTTAAAGGCTGAAATTATGACGTTATATATGAGAACTTGTAGAAGTTAAAGTTGCTTTAAACCTTAAACTTACCTTCTATACGTTGTTCTATTGTATAAACTATAATTTGAATTAAGAAGTATTTAACTATATATAGAGAATATTTTTGAAAGTAGAATTAAGTTTCGACATATATCCCGTTACTCTAGTAAGCAGTAAA